GCCAGGTGACTAACCATCCATCTCAGTTCCTTCACCTTCCGTTGTCACCGACACGAGGCCCCCGCGCCTAAAGGCGCAGCCAAGGACGTGACAAAGACGGTGGACGTGTGGGCTGTGAACGACATCAACTTCCACCCGGTGCACACATCGATTTTTACCACGGCGGGTTCGGACGGATGCATCTACTTCTGGGACCGGCTAGCGCACGCGCGGTTCTACACCTTCCCCCGGCGCGAGGGCGCCATCTCGGCCTCGGCCTTCAGCCGCGACGGCAGGGTCTTTGCCTATGCCGTCGGCTACGACTGGGCCATGGGCTACGCCAAGAACTCGCCTACCTATCCGCTCAAGTTGATGCTGCACCCCGTTGCCGATGAGGAGGTTAAGCCCCGGAAGGGTTAGGAACGGAAATGGGAACGACGGAGAGGAGAGTGCTAGGATATGAGAGATTGGGCCAGGGTACCTCGGGTTCTAGAGGAGATATTGGCTGTTTGGCAAGAGCATGAATTGCTTTGCGGACCCTAAGGGGGGATGTGGTTCAGGGGAGTGGCTACAATAACACAGCATAAGATGCTGCTAGACCAACTCCACCTCTGGATGCATTGAGGCACCAGGAGCATAAAATGCTCACAGGATCGGAAGGGATGCTTGAGATGTAGAGGAAGGCGACTTTGCAAGACACGGTTCGGGAGGCGGATTTCTTATGTCGTAAAGATAGGTACCCATCCATATCTACCGTCTCTCATAAAGAGCAGAAGTGAAAAGACTAAACTGATCGGGTAAAGACTGCGCGTCGTGTTGGTGCGAGGATGCCTGATAGAGCACGCTGGAGGACACAGATTCGGAATGTCTTCCCGTAGTTGGGTCATCCAGTGTGTAAACATCGAAACTTCGATATCAAGGCTCTAGCAGCCCACCGCAAAGCCTTAGATCGTTCGTTAATAACACATTTAAGGACCGTGATAACTCTAACATCGTTTTCGATGATGTCTCTAATTAAGCAATAGTGAATGTGGGCTGGAACGTGCTGTCTAGACAGAATATTCATATTTGGAACTAGCTGTTGGAGCTGGCTCCGAATTGAGCTGGCTCCAAATCATCGCAGTCACAGTTGAGTTAGCCAAAGTTGAGTTAGCCACAGTTGAATCAATCAATCGATTAGACATCCTCCATTTATATCTGTCAGAAAGAAAGGGGTTCAGGGGGCCCTTGGCTTCCGGTCAGCGAAGCTGACTGAATGCCTAGCACTGCCTGAACGCCAGTCAGCCTCAGCCATGGTGTTGACGAAGCTGAATCCTACGGAGTGATCTATAAAGATGGAGGTTCTGGCTGAAAGCCAGAACCTCGACAAGCAATACAATCAAGCAATTGCTACCCATCGTTTCCACCCATTCCACGGTGCAGTGTTTCTGACAATTAAGAGTCTCATTCGCTCGGTCGCATCCGTTCAATTCCATCGCCTGCGAGCCGATTAGTCAGCGAACCCCAACAAACAACAACCAACAACAACAACAACAACAACAACAACAACAACAACAACAACAACAACAACAACAACAACAACAACAACAACAAGAAACACATTCAACTTGCACCTCGTATTATACCAGACGGTGTAATCCTACACCTCTGTTCAAATACAACAACCCTCCTCTATTCAACAAACAATAAAAACAAAACTACACCACTGGTGCAGTGGTATTATTCGTCACAATAAACCACAACAATCAAGAGGTTGTCAGTTCAATTCCAACAATGGCCAATAACAACGAAAAGACCGTTTTTCTGGCCAGCTCCGAAGACTGGGAGTCGTGGAATCTGCAATTCCAGGCCCAAGCCGTTGCCGGAGGCCTGTGGGGCCAGGTTCAGGGGGTGACCCCTTTTCTCAAAGAACCTACGGCTCCAAACCCAACACAACACAAGCATAAAAACCCAAGCCAGTCAACAATTACGGCCAGGGGTAGTACGGAATCCGTGGCCGGTGACGACGAGCCTGGCCAAGCCAGCCAACTGACTACCACACGGATTACCACAGCGGATCTGACAACAGAAGGCTTCCGCACGTACCAAATGGATTGGACGATTTACCAAGCCAACGAAAAGAAGTACATTCAACAGATGGAAAGGGTTAAAAGGCTAAAACAGTGGATCCTGAAAACCACCAGTTTACACCTACAACTTACCTCCTGCGATCCAAGTCAACCCATTTCACACTGGTATAAGGCCCTGACTTTGCAGGCCGGAATCAGTGACGACGAGGCTCTCCACAATGCTCGAGAAGCCTACCGAGTGGCCATAAAACCACTACTTCGAGCCCCCAAGGACCTGATCAAATGGTCGGAATCCTGGGAGCAAGCTATTGCAATGGCACAGCGAAAAGGGGTCCCTGAAGCCCTTACCACAAAGACGTGGTTTTCAGACTTCTTGGATGCAGTGAAGCCAATTCTTAGCCACTGGGTTACATCCTATAAATTGATAAAATCAGCACAGTTAACTCTGAACTACCGAGCGGTGGCCAACGATTTTCGAGAAGAGGTGCGGCAATCAACGAAAGCCCGCATACTAGTTAGCAACCGGATAGCAAAAGGCTCATTTAGCCCCTCCTTTGCAGGCAAAGAAGCTAAAAATGCCTATCAAGAGGACGCTTTTGATAGCGAAATCGAACCCGGTAGCGATAAGGGGGAACAAAACAATGGCGGAAAAAGACAGCGAAGCTCTGGCACTGGAAATGGCAAAAGGAAGAAGCAAAAAGCCTCTGATTCAGCCACCCCTCCGGATAGCAATAAGCCGAAGAATGGGCCAAAGAAGGCACCCGGTATAGCTATAGCCACTTGCCCCTGTTGTGGCCAGTTCCACCGTCTGGAAAAATACTGGTATGCTTTCCCGGAACAAGCCCCTGATGGCTTTGTTAAAAGGGAGCACGTTTGAATAAGGGTGAAAGAAGCCCTATTACATCTAACACTTTAAAAAGAGGTGGAAACGCTAAGAAGGAAGAAGTCAGATTAACTAGGCCATAATGTTAGCCGGTGCCCTGGAAGCTTCCTTAGTATAAGGGCTGCATTCCACACAGCTAAATACCCCTTAAAGAATTCGGCTATCCTTGATTCTGGAACCATAATACACGTTTTTAACTAACATTCCAGGTTTTTGAATTACACCAAGGCTCCACCCGGTGATTTTCTGTAGGCTGGAGAACACCCAGTTTAAATTCAGGGGTACAGAGACGTGGATATCCAGATTCAGGGGCCAAAACAATAACAGTAGCCACACCGGTAACCAAAACAACACTTCCTTCGGCTTCGAAACGTGGCCTACTGCCCTGGATTTGCCTGCAACTTGGTGTCCTTACAGCAGCTACGAAAACAAGGCCTCTGGTGGGATAACAGCCCAGGAAACAACTGCGTTTAAAGGTCTAACCATTCGATTATTTACAACCTTACGGATCAATACGGCCAGTATGTATTAGAGGATCTTCCAGCCACCCTTTTAAACACAGCGTTTTTTACACAGCGGAATAAGTTTAACTCCTACACCCAGAAGCAGCCAAACAAAGCCGTGGCCAACCTTTGGCACTTACAGCTTAGCCACCCTAGCCCACAAGCCTTGGAGCAATTAGTACACCACACGTAAGGGGTTCGAATCAAGGGGCCCACTACCGTTCAGTGTGATGCATGTGGTGTATCAAAGGCCAAACGGCAAATCCAACGAAGGCCAAGGGAGCGTGGGGAAGGTCCTGGATTACGGCTTGCAATCGACTTCCACGACTTCGAAGAATGCTACAACGGCTACAGATCACTACTGTTAATTACAGATAGATAGTCCGGCCTAGCCTGGGATTATTATCTTATGGATAGAACCTTTGAATCCATTACAACAGCCTTATCTCACCTCTTTGGATCCTTGAAACAACACTATAATATATAATTAACGGTGATTGAATGCGATAACGAGCTATCGAAGCCTATTTTTGAAAACTACTTTAGCCAGTTATTCATCCGGGTCGAGCCCTCAGCCCCTTACACGCAAGCCCAGAATGGAGGCGCCGAGCGCTCAGGGGGTGTAATCAAGGATAAAATCCGATCGATGCGAGCAGGTGCGAAATTACCTGCGGAATTATGGCCTGAGATCTCCAGAGCTGCAGTTTACTTATATAATCGAACACCAAAACACGACTACCACTGGAAAACTCCATACGATCGATTCCATACTTACGTGGCCTATAAGGGGGGCTCTGTTGTGGAAAATCGAAAGCCCTATCAAACCCACCTTCGAGCCTACGGCTGTAAAACCTTCGCTTTGACGACAGAAGCCCAGATAAAAAAGCAACAGGCTACAACGGCTAAATCCAAAGGCCTGGATCGGATACTTAGTGGGCTACAATTTAACAAACATCTACAGGATCTGGAATCCAGTAACTAACAAAGTTATCAACACCAGGGACGTTATTTTCAACGAAGAAGAGCTATTTAGTGGTAATATCGAAGCCTGAAGGACGACTGTCGACACGTACGGCTGGACGAACTGCAACGATTACTTTCCAAAGTAGAAGAGCCAGATTTGGAACATCTACAACCTTCTGCACTCCAGGAAGACGAAGAAGTCTATTCAGCTGAAGACGAAGCTGAAGCCGAAAACGAAGTAAGCCCTGCAAGTGAGCCACTACAAGAATTTCCATACACCTGTGCCAGGTTCGAGCCGTACCCTACACCCTCGTAGTCTCCGGAGGCCGCATTACTAGCTGGTTCAATTCAACAGACCACGGCCCCGGCTATAATCAATAATAGGGAGTTTGAACCTTGGATGGCAACCTTTGCCGCAGGCCGATTATTACAAGCTGTTGGAATTCAGGGGGGCCAAGCCATTACAAAGGCCGCAATTCAACGGCTGGCCAGACGGCCAAAAGGCCTCCAAGCACTCCACTCCAAAGATTTACCCCTATTACCAAAATCACACCATCAGTTGAAAAATCACCCTTTCGGACCACAATTCCTACATGCCGAAAAAGCTCCTGGAAGGAATCGAACCCTCAACCTTTCCACAAAGAATGGAATACACTACCATTGTGCCACAGGAGCTGTTGTTGGAAAGAAAGACCGTAAGATAAAATGGTAAAGTCCAGATCCAAGCCCTGTTGGCTCTGAGGGGGTGTGTCAGAAAGAAAGGGGTTCAGGGGGCCCTGGGCTTCCGGTCAGCGAAGCTGACTGGATGCCTGGCACCGCCTGAACGCCAGTCAGCCTCAGCCATGGTGTTGACGAAGCTGAATCCTACGAATTGGTCTATAAAGAAGGAGGTTCTGGCTGAAAGCCAGAACCTCCACAAGCAATACAATCAACTCAATTACCATCATTTCCACACAATCCAGGGTGCAGTGTTTCTGACATCTATCACTCAGGTGCCCATCAAACGTCTCTCCCACCACCGGAAGTAAAAACAAACGGAAGTAAAAACAAACGGAAGTAAAAACCAATCAACCCGCCCCTTCTCGCCGGAGTGCTCGCGAATCGCATGCTCGCAAATACCCTGGTATGCCACCCCCACCGCGAAGGAATTAGTAAGTATGATCGGGGAGTGCAACAATCCGGTCTCGATCCAGTGTGATCCAGTGTGATCCAGTGTGATCCAGTGTGATCCGGTTAGTTCCCCGGAGCCGTTGAAGCGGAAGAGGCCGGAGTCGCAGCCGGAGTGGAAGAGGTTAGGACGGGGGAGGATGGTGGTTACCCCCGTGTTGACGGTGCCGGAGGTGGGAGTTGTGGGGTGGTGGATGGATTCGGTATGGACGAGGACGGAGGGGACGTCAGTTAGGGAGTTGAGGGGGCCGGGGGGGTAGTTGCAGAGGTGAAGGGAGGGGAGGAAGTCGCGGATGCGACGGTGGGGGTCACGGTGGGGGTGTGGAGGGGGTGAAGGACATCTTGGCGAAAGCTTGATGGGATGGGTTGGTGATGCTTGGCGTGTTGATGCAAGGGACAGCAAATGTCGAAACATTTTTACATGGGGAGATGGGAATATGGAGAAGTTCAGCTTCCTATTGCGGAACGATGCTCCGTTGTGGGTTTATGATCCATGTGAAATCATCCCGGTTTCCGAGTTGATTCCCCGCTCTCGATAAGTCCGGCCTGCTTATCGAGGTCTGCCCCTCAATTGCTGGACGTCATCTAGCGAGGATACGCTGCTCAGCGCCCAGGCAACAACAGCAGAAAGAATCAAATCTTTAGGTTGGCGGGCAACAATGCGCTCAGAACGTTGGTGGCGCCCTGCCTTGAGTGTGTGAAACAACAGCATTGTGGCTACCGCCAAATTCAGAGGAGCGACACTCTGCGCGCCAGCTTCTGCTCCATCAAGACGGCTGTCCCGTCGAACGTGAGAGAAAATGCCAGAACGTGGCGGCCGTCCAACGTTGGCATTCGGGCGTTCATGCGTGAGGAGGGGGCAGACAACTAAGGTTATTTTTCATGCCTGAGCTATTTAGTGGGCTATTCTGGGATAATAAGAGGAAGGCCCCTCGTAGCGTCTACCAAACCACCACCGGTGTGCTGAGAAAATTAGGTCTGGAAAATTAGCGTTTCCGTTTCAGAGAAAGGCCACATTTTCAGCGCGCTTCCTGCAACTGCACCGGTGAGGAGCCTTTGATTCGCAAATCTTGGTACGGAAGTTGCCGCGCCAAACCCTTGTCAATTTCAGAACTTTCAACTCGCCAGGATCATTCTCTGACTCGACCCAATGCCGGATTGGACGCCTCGATGCCGTCAAACAGCCGGTCTGGACAAGCCACGGCGCAGCAAGGAGGCCCGAGCCCATGCTACTGTGAGGCTGAACAAATGCCGACATCCGTGCGACTCCGAATCACATCCTTATCCTTCGGCCTGCAGGAACAGCCCCAGCCAGCCAAGGACGGCTTTCCAACGACGGCCAAGCCAAGACTTGTCACCATTAGCGCCACCAACCGCCTCTCGCCTGATAGCACCCCCCGAATTGCATCGCCGAGCTGGCTACTGAGGCACGCTCGGGCTTTCGATGAGTCGCATCCCGCCAAACAGGTTTCCGGCTTTTCGGTTCCAGGGGTTGCATCGCGGAACCTGCCGTCGAACCTCATTGCGTGTCTTGGAGGTTCCCAATCGCTGGCGCCATAACTACTTGAACAGCTGCACCGGCGACAGCCACTCCCAAATGGCCAGGATCGCGACAACATGGAAGACAGAAGGCCGGTGGTCGTAGGCGTCACTGCCACTCTCCAGGCTCTGGCCTGGCTGGCGGTGGCCTTGAGACTCTGTGTGCGATACTTTCTGATCAAGCGACGGTTGTGGTGGGACGATGGTAAGCCTCTCTTGTCCAGCTTGGCCGCAAAACTGACGTGTCGTACAGCCCTTATCGTCATCGCCATGGTCCCCGTCACAGTGCACGCCGCGCTGCAGATCTCCAGTAACGTCTCCGTCCCCTACCATCAAATGTCGTGTTGCTGACGCGACGGACAGCCACCAAGTACAGTCTCGGGTTGCACATTCAGGATGCCAACCTCGCAGACTTGCCGATGATGGGCTTTTTGCTTTGGTTGTCCGCCGTGAGTCGCCCCCCCCCCCCCTCTCTCCACCTGTCCATCTAGCCTCCCCCTCGCTGACCATACGCTCACAACAGCCCGCGTTCAACCTCGCTCACATGTTCATCAAGTTCTCATACCTCGCCTTCTACCTCTGCATCATGCCCGAGCGCCGCAGTCGCATCGCTTTGTATGCCGGCATGGCGTTCGTGGGCGCCATTGGAGTCACCTTCACGGTGCTGTCCATCTTCATGTGCACGCCGATTCAGCGCGGCTGGGACAGGACACTCGAGGGGACCTGTGTGGAGGAACAGCCGTACCTCTTTTCCAACGCGGCGTTCAATATGACGGCTGATGTCATTGTCTTTTTGATGCCGATCCCGACACTGTGGAGTTTGCAGCGTGAGTCTCTGGGTGCATCTCGACAACGCCTTGACAGATGGCTAACTGGGTGCAGTTCCGCTCAGGCAACGCATGATCTTGCTGGGCACTTTTACGTGCGGCTCGGTGTAAGTCAAGCCGGCGTCCTTGTCTCTTTTTCAGCGGGCTCGGGTCTCGAGTATCAGGACTGACTGAGACGCTGTCTAGCATCTTGGTGGCGAACATCGTTCGACTCACTCACATTTACCGATTCGCCGTGCCGCCGTCACAGGGTACGTACCCTTCCGAACAAGCCCTGCCCTGAGCAACACTAACCCCACACAGACCCAACATGGGACATCACTGGCATCATCATCTGGGCCGAGATCGAAGTCCAACTCGCCGTCATCCTCTCCTGCGCCGCAGCCTTCAAGGTTCTTGCACAGCGCATCTTCCCCGGCTTCATGGACAGCCTCGCGTCCGGATCATCTCGACACAGGACGACGCGCACACCTCACACCGGTGCAGGCACGTATGCGCTTCAGTCACGGGACCGTACGGGCTTCCAAACCGTCACGTACGTCGAGGCCGGCGGTCCTACCACTGCAACCAAGAAACAGCAGGGCGACAGCGACAGTGTCGACAGCCGCGAGCGTATTGTTGAGGGCGCGGCGGCTACTGCAGGGTGGCAGCCACGGGTGGAAACGACCATCAGTGTGCACTCGTCCAAGAGGGATAGCACTGATGGGGGGCAGGGGAAGAAGGGCTCGGATCACATGTTTGTGTCATAGTGCTCAGGGTGTTTGGACATAAGCAGTTGGGGCGGTTTGAATCATCTAATCATTACCTTCTCCAATAATCACCAGCCAGCTCCACGACACTTGTGTTCCTTTCAACCTTGACGGGAAGTTCCCCGAACGCCTGGACAGACCCTCTCAGCTCGCTGGGCTTGCCCTCCTCTGGTTTTACACCAGGATAAGACGGTGGCTCCTGGCCTTGGTACACTGCACCGATGCTGGGTTGAACCGAGGGACGAGCCTTGTACCTCCTCAGATACAACAATGCAATTATCGCACCTACAATCAGGGCTAGTCCACCAAGTACTCCTCCTACTACAGCCCCAACATTCACACCACCCTTCGCTTGTGTTGTTGGCGCACTTGTAGTCCTTGACTTTTCGACATCGGTGCTGACTTCCGTTGGAGAGGGGAGAGAACTTGTAGACGTCGGTGTGGAGGCTGTGGCTGCCGGGGCGGTCGACGGCGGCGGCGAAGAAATGGTGACAGCTTTCGCTGTTGGCGAGAAGAAATACACCGCCTTCCCTGGGCCCTCGGCGCAATCTACGTAGTCGTACGTTTGATCGGGGCCAAAGACTAGCGATGCGGTGGAACAAAATTTTGCTTCTGGTCTATCGTCTGCTTCGGGACTATCGGAGAGACGATGCGCGTTAGCGGAGGAACCGGAAAGGGGTTGGTATGGGACAGGCTTACCAAGTCCATGTCCGTATCTTGGGGTTGTTCTTCAAACTCGCCCGACCGCAGCCTGTGCTGCAAGGGCCGCCGTCGAAGCAGAAGCCTCCCAGCCCGCAGTCTGTCGCTGCGATGACTGAGGTTGGGCAGAAACCCCAGAGACCATTGAGTGTGTCGACGCGGCAGTTGAAGCCCTTTGGGGCAATACGAGGTTTGGAGATGTCTCCGTCAACGTACCCGCACGTTGAGAATTCCGTAGTAGCTTGGCGTTGGAGAATGGCAGGAGGCGCGCTGGTGATGCTGGCGGGGGCTGTGGTGATGGCGAAGGCGAAGCATGTTGTTGATAAGCCGGGAATAAGAATGAAGATCCGCCACATTGTGGAGATAGTAATAATGGCAACTGGTATAAACTACCCAAAAGAATGACAGATAACAGAAGAAAGAAAAACAGGAAGGCCGAGAGATGAGGAACGGAGAGGGAGAGAGTGGAAGTGAATGACCTATTCGAGGTGCTGGGCCGGAAGATACGATAATAAATCCTACTCTCAACGAACACCACTGAAACCTGCACTGTGCTGCTGGCAGGGGCAAACGCTGGTTTCCGGCTGTTGGTGCCGGCGCCCAATTGGGTTGAAGATCGGAAAGTCGAAGGCAGCCAGACTGTGCATTTGGCACAGTGCATAGGCTCAGAAGTCAGTTTGGGACAGGTGCAAGA